GAGAACAGAGAGTCTTGAAGGCCACACTAAGGTGATAATTTGGCAATCCTATGGGGCCCATTTAAGAATTTTAAGCCAACAAGTGACATCCTTAAGAAATTGCTGGGAGACAGGGGCAGCTGCAATAGATATCATTGCTTTAGAGGGGTTGGCAGGCAAGAGAGCTTTTCACATACCTGCAATGAACACAGAGAGCAGGTAGAAGCATCCATAGGGAGGAGGGATGTTTAGAATGACCCAGGATAGCTCTGAAGCCCAAGGAGATGAGATCTTGGTTTCATCTTCTGGGAAATGGGAAGCTGTTTAGTCTGTGCCCCTCACCTACTTCTTTGCCCCATGCTGTTGTGGTTCTGTAAGGCTATACTGGTTGTTTATAGTCAGCATCTATTCTGATTGTTTGTTTGTCCATTCTGACTAGTCAGTGCCCAAGACATACTGCCATTAAATGTTTTTAATATCACCTCTACCCACCTCACAGGGTTGTTGTAAGATTAATTAATATAACGTATGTAATATCCCTAGCACATGCTTGGCATTCGATAAATGAGATCAGGGACCATATTTGATGCTCCAGTATGTGGCCTGGATATAGGGTTACCTTAGCATAAGCCCACCAAGACCCCCAAGAAGTCTGTAAGGTAGGCACTTGAAGCCCCTGAGGTCCTTTCAACCCACAAATATTGTGACCTTTATCAAACCCCAGTCCCCCTCAAATACTGCACATATTCCCATGGAACAACTGAGGAGCCCCAGTTGGACCCAGGAACTGTTCCATTTATTCTCCTCTATCTTTTCAGTATGGAGCTACTCTGGTGGCTCATGGCAGGCCACACCCTCAAGATGGTGCTGCTAGGAGCAGGGAGGGCAGGTTGCAACAATAGTGAGCTCAGACCACCTGGGATCTTCCTTTTTCAAACAAGGCTTTGGACTGTAGTGCCTAAATCTTGGATTCAGAGTCAAAATTCACTCCAAACCAGGATTCTGGCTGGCCTTCATATCCACTGCTCATCCTACTCCAGATTCTGGGGTTCCATGCTTTTCCCCAGTTCACAAAGAAGTGGATGTGAGAATTATGAAACTACAGATAGTTCGCCAATGTGACTTGTTCACCTGTGTGTCTCTAGGACCCAGCACAGTGTCTTACACAGTGTAACATGTAATAAATATTTGTTGAATAAATGAATGAATGAATGATTCTTTCTCAGTCTGTAGTTGGTGCTTTATGAAGCCTTCTTTCCTCCCCTCCCTCAGAGCCCATTGTGGCTTTGCCAGCCTCCTGGACTCCAACAGCGCTTACCATCTGTGCCCGTCCTTTGGTAACTAGCCAAACTCAACTCAGTTCAATTCATCCAACTTCCATGGAGCCTCACTATTGGCAGGAAGCACTCACAGTCTCAAGGAATGGCGAAAGCATTTCCTAGCCCATGGCGCCTCCATTGTACTTTTAAAACAACCTTGGCATGGAACAGAACCTTTTCCAAGACTTTTTGAAAGTCTAAACACATGATTATAAATTACTTCCCTTGTCAACGCACTTGATTACCATTCAGGAAATAACTGAGTTCTGGACAATGGATAAACAGATGATTATTTGACAGGTATGGGGCAGGTGTTAAAGCGGGGGTGGATGGGTTAGGAAGAATGAGACCTAATCCTTGTCTGATGGATTGGCAGTTTCATTAAGTGTAGTGGGGATAGGGGGTTGGCATCTCAGCCATCCAGGGCTGGCCTGGGCCTGGGATTTGAAGGGATGCCCAGCAGCCCCTTGACTGAAAAGAAAGCCAGAATCCCCCCACACACACCTGTTGTTTTTTTCTGAGGGTTGGGCCTTTTTAAATTGTATGACTATTCTCCATTCCTGTTTCCACCCCCTTCTACACATCTCCTGCGTCCCATGCCAGTCTTCTGTAAATTAGTCATTCACTTTCTCTCTGGCAATTATTTCGTTTAACAGAATTAGAATTAGCCTTGTATGTATTCACTAAAACACTTTTAATGGCAAAAACCTGGAAATAACCAGAAATCTTACATTAAGAGCTAATTTGAATATATAATGGTAGATCCATAGTCTGGAATACTGTGTAGGTAATAAAACAATGTTATAAAAAATAATAATTGACATAGGAAAAATTCACAAAATCTTGTTAAGTGAAAAAGATAGGCAACCAAACAATGATGTGGTGTGTGTGTGTGTGTGTGTGTGTTCAGCACGTGTGTGTGCTATTGGTAATTTTTTTCTTGATGTTTTTCTGTGTTTTACAAATTTCCTGTATTGAATGCTGCAGTCAAGTTAGGGCACCACCAGAAGGGGTGCATTGTAAAGATTCTGAGAGCACAAACACAGGTATCAAGCAAGGCTTCCTTCAGTCAGTGGATTTTGAGGAAGGTGAAAGGCACAGAGTATTGGAGAGGAACTCTGGGAATATGCTGTTTTTCAAGTGCAAAGGAGAGGAGATGGTGTCTATTCGTGGTGAGGACTTAAGGCCCCCCAAAGAAGATTGGACTGCAGTAAAGAAGCAATGGGAACAACTCTGGGTTTCTGAATATAGGTGTGAATTGATGGAAGTGGTGCTAAAGGAGATTATTCTAGCCAAAGCAGGGTGGATCTGGGCTGTAGGCAGGGAGATCTGCCAGGAGACTCTGCAGTTTGCATATGTGACCTGAGGTAATGAGAGCTTGGATTATGCTTGTGGTAATAAAACAAGAAAGGAAAGAGTGAATGGATCTGAGAGACGTTATCAACAAAGAATCAGAACTAGAGATTCAAATTTGGCCAAATATATGCCAGGTTGTAGGTGAAACCATGTAAGGAGACACTTTCCAAGGAAATGGATGTTAAGAGAGAATAGCTGAGGATGACTGAGTCTTCAGGGACTCCAATGGTTAATGGGAGGAGGAAAGAAGAGGAGCCAACAAAGGAGACAGAAAATGATGGGTCAGACAGATAAGAAGAGAAACTTGAGAATGCAATGCCACGAGAGCCAAGGGCAGGACGGTTACAGGAAGGAGTGGGAGGTTGATGGTATCAAATTCATCCTCGAGGTCAAAGATGCAAACTGAGCAGAGACCCTTGAATTTGGCCAGGAGGTCATTGGTGAACTTACTTACAGAGAGCAGTTTTGGCAGAAAACACTGGACTCTAGAAGGTTCCAGGGAAGGGAGACATGGGGAAGTGGAGGCAGCTCATGGATACCACCCATGTGAAAAGAGTAATTGTCAGGACTGAGAAGAACAAGGTCAAACTTTATCATTCTAGTCCTGTCAGTTAACCACTTGAACTTGTTTTCTCTTCTGACAACAGGAATAATCCTACTAGCTCATAAGACTGTTGAAAGTACAAGTTTAAGCGATTATTTTTCTGCTATGGTGAAGGGGCTTCTCCCCCCCAAAAAAAACCCCTAGAGATTTCTGGGCATGTTTTAACAGATAAGAGGAGTCTTTTAGCTTAACAGTATTGTCCCTAGGTTGGTATTGCTTTGAGAATTCCCTAGCTGTGTCCTCTGGCATTGGTCACGCCAAGTCACTTGAACAATTCTTCCCTCACCCTCTCTGAGGTGAGGCCATTGAGGCAAAGTGATTCACAGGGAGCCAGTGGTCAGGGTTGCATGGAAAGTCTCGGAGACCTGTGTAGAGGCTGTTAAAGCAAGGCTCTTTTTGAGACCCTGGACATAGTTTGGTGCCAGCCTCACCCTAACACATAAAAGGCTGCCGCCCCTGAGTGGATGGTGGGCTGAAGGGTGGCTGGGGCAGAGGTACCAGAAAACCTTTCTTTTTTAACCCACAACACCTGCAGACTGAATGGCCCCTGGACTGAATGGCCTTAAACAGGCAGCTTGATTTTCAAGGTGTGCCTAAGGGCATATGCTTTTCTTTCATTCCTTCTATTCTCACTTGGCAACCATATACAACCAGACCTGACCCGTACTACTTCATTTTTTTTCTACTCACTGTCTACAAATCAGTCCTTTGAGCACTTTTCCTTTGTGAAGCCCAATCTGTGTCCAGTTTAACATACTTTGGATTGATCTTTGTCTTAGCATCTTGTTTTCCCCTAAAAGAAGATACCCTCTGGGAAAAAATGGCTGCCCCACAAGCCAGCAGGGCCTAGATTGTTACCAAGCCCTGGAGAGGTACAGAGCTGGGTTCTGGCCTAACTGGATGTTGCACGGTGAGCATATTTTCTAGAACTGGCACTTTTCAGATCCTGAGACATCTAGAGAGTATAGCCAAAGGGCCTTTTTAAGGTCCCTGCCCCTTTTAATGGAAGAACTTGGTCTCATTTCTGGGAAGTTGGCTTACCTAGAGGAAACAGAGTCACATTATGGATGGTACACTCACATGCTAAGATATGTGGACACCTCTAAAAAAGTGATAGGAGATCAGAACAGGGGTACTTCCAAGGAGGCTGATACTATCGGAAACCTTTTTGGAAGGCTAGTCTGCTTTGGTCTTCTTTTAAGTGGCAGACCATTCAGTCACCAAATTTGGCCTGAGCATCCTCTGAACAAGAAGCTCTTCTCAGGAGGGCGAAGGAATGAGGGCTAGAAAGATAGGCCGGGGTCCTTGTCCGTGAGAGTAATTGCCATAAGATGTGGACAAGCGGTCTCGGCTGCCTTGTTACTGAAGAGCTTAGGGAACCCCGGGGCAGGGCCTGCATTGGGGGGCCAGATGCTGTATCTGGGCCAAAGCCCGGCCTGCAGGGCAGGTGGCCAGAACTTGGAAGGAATTCTCTTCCGCAGCCCAGGGTCCAGGCTTGGCCCCAGCAAGCCGCCCTGCCAGCCTCTGCTGCCTGGGGCCTCGCGCATTCCGCGCCCCCGCCCCCTCCCCCCCTCTCCAGGCCTCGCCCCCTCCCTTGTCCCCTTCTCCTCTCCCCACCAGCTGTCCCCTTTCCCCGGAGCAGCAGACAGCCGGAGCCTGGGAAGAGGCGGCCTCGGGCCGGAGGGGGCGTGGTGGGGAAGGGGAGGGGGGCGGGGGTGAGGGGATAAGGAGGCCGCGGCGGCGGCGCCCCCAGCCACCGCGCCGCCCGCCCGAGCGCTGGCTGCCGCCGCCATCGCTCACTTGCTTCCCCTCGCTCAGGGGAAAGGTCAGCAGCGTCCTGGAGCCGCCGTGTCACTCCCCGACAGCCATGAACTGCAGCGAGAGCCAGCGGCTGCGAACCCTCCTGAGCCGCCTGCTGCTCGAGCTGCACCACCGGGGCAACGCTAGCGGCCTGGGCGCCGGCCCCGACCCGAGCATGGGCATGGGGGTCGTGCCTGACCCCTTCGTGGGCCGCGAGGTGACCAGCGCCAAGGGCGACGACGCCTATCTCTACATCCTGCTCATCATGATCTTCTACGCCTGCCTGGCCGGAGGCCTCATCCTGGCCTACACCCGCTCCCGCAAGCTCGTCGAGGCCAAGGACGAGCCGTCCCAGGCCTGCACCGAGCACGATTGGGCCCCGGGTGGCGCACCGGCCGCCACCGACGCCGAGACTGCCGCCGGCTCGCCGGCCGAGGGGCGCCGCCTCGCCCCCGGGGGGCTGCCCGCCCTCGCCCAGGGCACCGTGGGGGTCTAGAACCACTGCCCCAGCTTGCTCGCTGGCACCCGCCTCATCTCGCTTGTCCCTGGGCACGGCGCCCGCCTTTTCCTTTCCTCCCCTTCCAGGCTTCGCCTCACCTGAGGCCCAGACAATGATGAGAGGCCAGGAGACCTTGTCTGGAAGGCCCTGGAAGAAGTACAACCCTACCCATTCCCCGCCAGTTTCTCCCTCCTCTCCCCTCATGCCTCCACCCCCACCCCGCACATCCAACTGCACTAAACTGCCTCTGCTCTCTTGTCTGCAGACAGCCCTGACACCACGCTCCAGCACTCTGGGAACTGAATCCAACACATCCAACACTTGGCATTGAACTGAAGCAATGAAGTCTATCAGAACTCGGGGTCGTCTAACCGGCAGCTGTTCCAGGGACTGCCAGGGACTGCTCACTCCGCAGAGCCAATGGGCTTGCCATCTCTGCCAGGCCGGCTGCAGCAGCTCCAGCTTCCGGGCACCTTAGGGACAGAGACAAAGAAAATGAAGAGACCTCAGACATCTCTTCCTTCCCTCCCTCTTTCAGAAGGGAACTAGCAGGAGACTAGGACCAGTCTGTGGGATAGAACTGACTTAATGGGGACTGGAGAGGGAGGGGGCTCAAAGAGGAGGGAAGACCTATGACCCCTTCTGTATGGTTTTCTTGCATCCAGTTGTCATCCCAAAGGTAACTTGCCTGATTTTTAGTAGCTTTGCCATCTTCTGCCATGGGTAAACATTGCTGGGTGCATCACCCCAATGCTTCCAAATGCCTCTCCTGTACTGGTTCAGTTGTTAAGGCAGCTGTCTGCTTCATTCATGGAACATGAGGCTCAGACTTCGCCTGCTCTGTAACCTGGGGAATGTCAGAGGCAGGTAATAAAGTTTGTTTAAACAAAAACCTAAGACTCTTTTCTCAAAGATCCCAGCCTTGAGACCCAGGACTATATAGAGAAGGAATCCTTTTTGCTCTTGGAAATGCTGTTTAGATTTGGGAGTTAGGTTGTGGTGATATCTATACAACCAGTTCCAATGCAGTAGATGTCATTGTGGGTGAAGACAAGGTTTATATGGCTAAATGGATTGTTTTTTCAAGTGTTTCAAAAGTTGTAACTGTTTTATTACTTCTCTTCTCCTTTTTCCTTAATTCTGAAGCACTTTCAAATATCATAATGCTAAATAAGGATTTCCCACTTTCCTTTTGCCGTTTTTCAGGATACACTTAAAATAAAAACCTCTCATACCCATCACTGTTAGCTATTATCAAAGTTAATTTTTAGAAGCCACCTTCGTAACTCTCTCAAAGAAGTAGCTTATTAAAAGAGAAAAAGCCACCAAATAGTGTAAATCTTACGTCAGAGGGAATATGCTTGAATTAAGCAATCTTAACCAACGGTGGGTCAAGTTAGAGGTGTATGTTTATTGATTTATTCTCCTTGTCTCAAAAAGGTCGTGAGAAACTTACCTGCTTAGGGCTTAAAAGCTTATACCTGATGATGGCTCTTTGGGCTTCATGAAACACACATAAAATCATCTCTTAGCATTAAGCCAACTTGCTTAATGCCAGCTGGTTTCTCAGTAATTGCAGGACAAAGATATTATGGATCACTTAAATGCATTGATAATACACAAGTTTCATTCAAGTCATTGGTTTTGACCTTGTAGCCCTTCTGGTATTTTACTGGAGCTATTAATAAGTTAAATGAACTTACTTTCATTCCCAGGATTCACTCCTTGAAGATATGCTGGCCTAGCCCCATTGGCTCCTCTCCAGTCCTAGTTTCAGCCCTAAGGTCACCCCCTCTCCTTGCAGGTGGGGCCAGGGATTGGGCAGCAGTCCAAGACAGTGACAGGAAGAGAGGGGATGCTGTGAGAGCCATCTCAGTGTCAGGCAGGGTGGCATGAGTGGGATGTGGAGGGAAGGCACAGATATCAAGCCATGCCAGGGGTATGTGGGGGGCCAGTCCCCAGCCTTGTATTTCAAGTATAACAATGTCTCTCATTTATCTGGCATAACTGGGGACACAAGGTTGTTTTGATAATGAAGCGTAATCACTGCTTTAGATGTTGAAACTTTATAAACATTTGTACCAATTTTTCATAGACATTTAAAAAAATATATTGCCAGAAAAATAAAGAAAATAAAGAAAGCTGCGAGCAGTTGGGACAATGCCCACAATAAACATTAATGTGCCACCTGTGGGAAACAAATCCCATTGACAAAATATTCCTGCTGTTAAAAACATTTTAACCTTTTTATGATGATTAGGGTACCCATTAAGAACATATAGCAAGAGTAGCTACAGAATTCTCCCAGTGAGAAAAGTGAACTGGCCTGGGGAAAGCAATTTGCTTTACTGCCCAGTTGCTTTTTTCAAAACTTTCAAGGTTGCAACTGTGTCCCAGATAATGAAGTTTCCCAGAAGTCTGGACACTACCAACCAGTGGGAGTGTCTACAGCATCGAACCGATCAGATTGTGGCCAGCAAAAGACAGAAAAAAGAAAAACTAGGGGCTCGTCCAACCCTCAGTTTTGATCATCTATTCCTGAATAGCACCAGCTGACTGTACAAATTGGGAAAATGTTAGCCTTCTCCTTAATGTGATTCTAATAAATTAGAGTGATTCTTTTTTCAACCCACCCAGCGGCCTATTTCTCCCTTCTGTGTAAACAGATCCTGTTTCGGTTCGGGCTCAGATCTTTGCTCCATAATAATAATGAAGAAGAAGACCCACGCTTCCTTACTTGTAACTTGAGGCTTTCAACAAAGTGGGGCTCAGAGATGTTTTGAGTTCCAATGTCTGGAAGTGTTCATCGACAGTGCAAAAATAAACAGAAGCTTTCCTTCCATGACAGACGTAATTCTGTGTTGTTGATTCACTTTTCTAGAGGGATACAAATGAGGTCTTTCATTTGTTTGTAGTGTCCATCTTCTTTTCAATTTGCCGTCTCTTTCAGACACCAAAGATCTGCACATGGTTTGTATCAACAAAGAGAAGGGACTGGGCCGCTTTCCAATCAATCTTGCCTGACGGCTAAAGCAAACGCACTGTGGTGTTGTGGGCAGAGCACAGGACCAGAATCGAGAGAACTCGGTCCAGCCCTGGCTTTGCCAATTAACCCGGCTTTGTTTCTCAGGGTGAGCTGCTTAACCTCTCTGGGCCTGTCTCCACAGCTGTGGGGATTTGAGGATCAAGTGAGCTAACATATGGGAAAGGGCTAGGAGAAGGACAGAACCTCTAGAAGTATAAGGTGTTAAATTTATATTTTCCTTTTCCTTCCTTGGGGGAGTACCCTTGGGCAATCGTGTGGGGGAAGAGGGGAAGAGAAAATTCTCTACTATGTAGAGTCTATTGTTATTGCTCAAAGAAGAGGATTGCAGAGACTTGGCCACTAGCTCCCAGATTTCTGAGCCTGTCTCCCCCATTCTCAAAATTTTGGATGACTAGGAATCTGTGCATAACTTTCTCACTATCCTACTCTACTACCCTTTACCTTGTAAAGGGCTTGTAGTGCCCTTTAAGAAAATATGACAATAATACTATATTTTCAGAGATCCACCAGGACTAGAGTCTAGACTTTGAAGACAGAGGTCAAGGATTGAGAGCGTGCATAAGAGAAGAGAATGAAGGGAAAGAATCACGGGCTGTGGGCTTCATGAGGGAGATAGGAGGAAGAGCTATCTAGAATGTTCTGTGAAGGTAAGGGTGCATGACTGAGGACCACCAAGAGTGAATAGATTAGAGTGGTCAAGAGCCAACCCTAGGTGAACTTGAACCACCCATCAAAAGGGCTTTGGGAGAAGAAGTTGGATGGGAAGTCACTTTTCAGCCTCTTTGGTTACTTAACACAACCTGTAGCCTGTCCAGGAAGACAAATAACGTGATTAATGCAACTCTTCTTGCTGTGGTAGACCTCAGAGCATGGGACCAAGTGACCCCACCAGTCCCCCATCAGCTGTGTTTTGAGGGAGGGCAGGGTCTTGGTAAAAGCTGTGGCCTGGGCCTCTTTCTCTGAAGAGGGTGCAGTCAGAGCAGACAGGGGGATACCTCAGAAACATTTTTCTAAAAAAATTGTGCTAAAATACACATAACATAAAATTTACCATCTCAGCCATTTTTAGAAGTGTACAGTTCAGTAGTGTTAAGTACATTCACGTTGTTGTGCCACAGTGCCCCTTTAAGTCAGAGAAAAAGGCAAGCAGCCAAATTACTTTATATAGAAGTGGCAGGGCTTAATCATTGCTTCAGATGACTCCCTCTCCAGGGGTATTCACATTTTATAATAGATCACTCAGGACAAAGTAAAGGAGAAACCCAAGGAAAGAATCTCTAGTTGTGGATTTCAGTGGAATTTGGAAGGAGAGATATCTTGAAATGTTTATGTGTGTTGGGGAAGGTGCTTGGGGGAAGAGTGTACTGAACTTCCCACAGCTTCTAAAGTCACATCCTACTCTTACTGTCAGATGCTCTTGGAACCCTGGGGAGGATTAGGGGAGCCATGAATGACTGGATTTCAGTATGATTTGCCGAATTCCCACATACCTGACCTACAAAATGTTCATTCATGAAAACACTTCAGTCCCTGGAAGGACAGGAGGCCTCCCCTTAGCTCTTTTTATGATCTGGATGTGATCTAGTTAGGGTTGCTGCCCCAGCAGGCCTGGAAGAGAAGGAATGGAGACAAAGGGCACATTAATTTCGCTCCTCTTCTCGCGGGGCTTCTCCTCTAGGGGCACTGTGGTCATGACCAGCCCTTGGCAAAACTACGGGATTGGTATTTACCTCACTTTCTCCCTTCCTGTTCCAAGCTTCCCCCTGCCATCCTCAGTCCCAGTCCTCCAAAGCTGTTCCTTCCCTGCTGCCCTGCTCTAGTGATCTTATTCATTTACATCTAGTCTGCTATTCATTCCAGTGACGATCCAAGGAATGCATCTTTAATGGTAGCTTTCAGACACTGGGTGAGGGAGAGAGGTATGAAGCGTGGCTTGTCCTAGGACTTTCAAATTTGATATGGGTAAGGCTGCTCTGGCAGTCACACCATTGTGGTAAGCTCAAGAACAGAACTTTGGCTTTTTCTTTATCCCCCCTACTTCTGGGGGTGTTTGGAAGAATGCAACTTTTAGCCATGTAGGGAGGGCACCTGCATTTCCATGTGAGTTTCCTAGGATGGGGGGTGGGATGTGGGTGGGGATGTGATTAATGGGGGCAGGTGGGAGGGGACAGAAGCCCTTGGCCTGCTCCCCAGTTAGGCCTCTGTCCACTGGAAGGCTAAATTAGCAAACAGGACACCAGGAATGGCTGAGGTGAGTGAAGGAAGAAATACTAGGATGGATCCCCTGAGGACTGTAAGGTTGGAATTCCTATCATTTTCCTGCCATCTCACTATATATCTGTACCAAACCAAGGCCATAGCCAAATGATAAGCCCTGCTTGGAGGAGGCTGCTCTGGAGTCAGCTGGGTTAGTCTCCATCCCATGTCCCAAGTAACTAGTACCATCCCTCAGAGGTTTGGGCTTTCCCTCTAGCAAGTCCAGGGGGCTGGTCAGTTCAAGAGCCCCCACCTTTTGACTTTCTCCACCATCCACCCAAGCAGAATAGTGTAGTACCTAGGGCATGGGTTCTAGAGCCAGACAGCTTGGGTCCAAATCTATGGTCTGCCTTTCACCAGCTGAGTAATGTCAGGAACATTACTTAACCTTCTCCAAACTTCCTTTCCCCATCTGTAAAATGAACGTAAGAAATAGTACCTACCTTCCATGGTTGTTATGAAGATGGAGTAGTTAACACAGTGCTCGGCTCAGGGTAAATATTTAGTAATGGTAGCTTCCAATCTTGCCCCAATCCATAGCAATAGAGTTGTCATCTACACCACACCAATGAACCTGCTATGAACAT